GGCGAGTTTCGAACGCGATCACCCTATCTCGCCCCTTGGCGTCTACTTGCAGCAGTGCACAGCCGGTGGCAAAGTCCAAAGTGTCACGGACACACGAAAAGGACGGTCGGGGTCTGGCAACGCCAGTATTGGTGCATGAAGGAGGCTGTCTTTGACCCTGTCAATAGTCTCCCGATGCTCGATGACCCAACACCATTCCATCTCCTTTTTAAGGAGGTTCGACAACGGCCGTGCCACTTTTGCATAATTCTCGCTCTACTTGTGTAAGTAGTTGGCCGCTTGCGCTGGTCCTTTTGGTGCATTGGAACCGACCAGGTCACATTGCCCTTGACCTTAGCGAGATCCACTTGAAGGCCACGCTTTCCAATGAAGCACCTCGGAAATCGATTTCATTTACGCCGAAGATGCACTTATCAGCATTAGCATACAGCTTATTCACGCGCATGTACTCGAGCACCGCTATTTCATGGACGATGTGGTTTTCCTCATCTGTCCTCTCGTGCCCCGCACGTCTGTGGACGAAGATGTCATCGAATTATGTCTGGGCATACGCCCGGTGGGTCCTGAACAACTGCGTCACAAGATGATTAAGTGCTGCTGGTGCATTGACAGCCCTTGGGGCATCACCAGCCACTCCCAGAGCATGCCGCTCCAATTACTCATCGCTGTCAGCGGATATCACTCGATCTCATGAGCAATTGGTAATACTCGTCGCCCAAGTCGAGGGCTCTGTACTTTGTGCATCCAACCATGCTGTTCTAGAGGGCCACCTTCCTTGGATCGGCATCTGTGCCGGAATGGTGGCAGCGTTGAGCTCATTATAAGCGTGAACAATACGCCGCTTGCCGTTCGGCTCCCGGACACAAAACTTGGGGAGACTTGCTCTCGCGCACCATTCCTGCGTCGTGCTTCGCACGGCAAAAAGGCGTCAATGACGTGGCACTGCTCCATGGACAGAGGCCGTTGGTTGTTTAGCAGTATCTTGGTTCCGGAGCCGGGTCGATCCCATGACACAAACCTCGGTTCGGAGGTATGACCGACAGCGGGATTTTGGAGACGACGTCTTGAAATTCCTTTACCAAAGGATAGTTTGGATCCGAGGGATTCTCCAGGATCGATGATCCACTTTGTGCGTTCAGAACCTTCTTTAGTGTCCTCCAAGACAGCTTCATCCAGAAGCGACGACGAGTTAATGTCCTCGTTCGGTCGTTAAATGACCACCTTGGCTAAATCGCCTTCCTTGAAGGCACCACCGAACTCTTCGAAGAATATCATGTCCAGCTCAAAGGCAGCATCCACCGCAGGAATAGCCTCGAGGGTGACGTCGCTGTCTTCCTTCCCTGTGATACCATTGACAAGGCTGTATAACTGTGCGCTATCGTCTACGGTAGACACACCCTGGGTCAAGGTCGGCGTCCTATGTCTTGCACCTAATATACAGCATCGCCGCTGTCATTTCGCAGAGATTTTACGTCTCGAAGAGACAGTAAGAGCACGCACCCAGTGTCGTCCAGTGTCCCCACTCCCTGCTCCACCGAAGCCTTGATGCTATAAACAACAGCCGAAGAGAAGCTGCTAATTCCGCAGTCTTCGTCTAGTGGATATTGTGCCACTTCATGAACATCTGAAGGGCCTTGCCCAAGGTGCCCTGGTCCTCGTCCGACCATGCCACTCTTGGCATTCAGCAACTGCTTCGAAACGTGAGCAGTGCTTAGTGGATTACGTGCCATTCCAAGCGCATCTGAAGAGCCTTGCCCAAGATGTGTCGGACCATGTCGGACCATGTCCGACCATGCCACTTTTGGCGTGCAGCGACTGCTTCGATACTCGAGCAGCGCCCAGTGGTTTACGTGCCACTTCATTTGCATCACTGGGGCCTCGCCCTCGATGTCTTGGCACTTAGCCGATCATGCCACTCTTGTCATTCAGCAACTGCTTTGATTCTTGACCAGTTGAGATGCCACTCCATGTTCAGCCTGCGAGTCACGCTCGGGACTCTTGTCTAATACACCTTCGGTGTTCGACAACTCGGATACTCCGATATTCAGCACATTGATCGTCCTGGTCCAGTGCCCTCGCCAATAGCGCTTTTACTTCCTAGCAAAGGTGGGTTCTTGAATCACCAAAGCTTCACCAGGAGATGTGCGCGTAGCGCCCAAGATCTTCGACTTCCAACCGTCCATGTCTCATGGTGTTCCAACCATGCCATACCAAGGATAAGGTCGTACCTTGAATCCAAGCCTAAGACTATGCAGCGTTACACACTATCAAAATCAAGAAACTTGACACCGAGATCTACAGGGATCCTCGGCACCGTGACACAAGTCCCCGTCACTAAGCGAACAGTTACGGTGTCACGAAACCGCGCTTTCAGGGCCTCAGCATACAGCTGACTTACTTCTATTGTGGATGTCGAGCATAATTGCCCGTCACCCCGAAGTCGGTAAGAATTTTTCATGGCTTCTCTAAGCCCTTCACAGTCGCTTTCATGACCAGCAAACCCGGCTTGCATACACGTTCGGTGTTCAAGAGCACGGAGCTCTTCGGGGCTAACCCTGCTGACCTCTACCTTTTTGAGGCTTAATAGAACTCAGTCTTCCCCAATCGGGCGCCCCGCGCCTACTGGGTGTCGCCGTTTCCTTGCGACAAACCAGACTGGTGAGAAGCGGGACGTCGATTTAATGAACCTTGACGCGCCTTGCGCCGGGGGCAACCAGTCCGAAGATGACAAGTGTCCACAGACAAAACACTTCGAGTGCTTGAGCGCTGCCCGGCAGCTCGGAGCTCTTCCCCCTTTTTCTTAGCATAGCTGATTTTCATTGGCTCAGGGCCACTCGACGAGCTCTGAGGGTGTGCATTCCAACCAAGTCATGCCGACTTAGAGTTAACTTTGAAATTTGATGCCACATTCACCGCTTCTTCAAAAGAAGACGGATGCACACGAAAGACTTCCATTCTGGCCACACCAGTGCGGAGCCCCCCAGACAAAAACGGTCACTGTGACCGCCTCGGGAAGAGGATCGGCTGCTATCCCAGCAATGAGAGTACGCAACTCTTTGACAAAGTCCACCAATTCCTTCTTGCCCTGTTGGGCGGCAAGGAAACGCGTTCGCACGCGATATACCTGTTTAAGCTGTGAGAACACTCGCAGAATCTGACGCTTCAGCTCCGCCCAGGAGGAAAGCGCCGCTTCAACTGGAGTACCGCACGTCAGAGCCCATTCGGCGCTTGGCCCCCGAGCTTGGAGATAGCTAGCGCCACGCGCTGTTGCTTGTTCTGGAGCATGGCGGGAGCCCTAGCCACCTCGGCCTCTCTCACACAAAAGCAGATTATCTTTATCTTTACCATCAAAGGTCTTTTTTTCTCACAATGAGCGGCCTGAGTCGGGAGGGATCATCCATCGTCGACGGCGGCGTAATCGACGCGGTTGACGCCGACATCTTCTGCTCTAGGTGCTCTAGCAGAGCATTCTCATAGCTTAAAACCGCCTTTAGGGGCGCGCTTATCGCTTCAGATCCTTGCGAAACAAGGTGCTTGACGTCCTCAGGGTCGAGCGTGAGCATCAGCTTCTTAAGCCCGTCATGCATGACCCGGGGCAAATAGGAGAGTTTTCCATCCCCAATGAGGATCAGTCGTAAAGACTCAGGCGTAGATTGACTACAAGTGCCGTAGCTCTTTGCTTAGGGGGCGCTTACTAAGGTCACCGACCTTACATTCCATACTAGAAGCAGTATGAGTGTAGCGGATCGGAATCCGCTACCTCCAGAAAACATAAAATCTTGCCCCAAGGCAAATACACTCTTCCGTTCAAAATTAAAACCGTATTTATCTGTTTTTTGCGGCAAAGTCGCCTATATCTAAATATATAAGTTTCCTAATCAAACAGTAAAACCTAATTAATATGCATAACTACTGGCACTCCCGCCACGTAGTGGCTTCTTGTTGCGGTGTAGCAACACGATGGTGTGATTACACCGTCTTGTGTAATCCACACCTTTGTACGGTCACACCATCTTGTGTGACCCAACCTTTTACACCAGGATACGTGTAACCCCGTTACATCACCAGTACAGATCCACAGGTAGGTACCAACATACTGTATCACACAGAATGTTTTACATTAGATGTTACGTTTGCATTTGGCAACACCATACTGTAATGATTTTTTATCAATCCTCTCAATGCATGCAAAAGGTACATAGAGGACTTTCATGTATTGGCTAGGTTTAGCCCATTACACTAAATGGAATGCCAGCGAACCATGAAGGCCATTTTTTCGGCACTTGAGACGACACACGAGCTCTTGGGCGCTAGAGAAGTCGTTGAAGAGGTGGACTTGCTCCAGATCTGCCCATATAGCTGTATGTGGATAATATAGCAGCAATTCGTCCGATCGAAGGAGGAGCCGTGTTCTTGCAAGCAAAATATATCGATGTACACCGGAAGTTTGTTTAAGACTATGCTCGACAGGGCGTTGTAAAAATACAATATGTCCGTTCGGAGCTTATGTTCGCGGGTTTATTAACTAAGATGCTGGATCAGCACAGACTTGCAAATTTGTGAGCACTTGTATGGCTGCGCTACGTGTGACGGCGGGTTATGATCACGATTAAAAGAGTTATAATAGGGCTATGATATGGTCATGCGTTGCGCGAGCCGACCAACACGCTACATGACGGCGCCAACAACCGCTTAATATGATGATGTCCGCAACTTTCTCTCTTAAATGGTTGATAGAAGTCAGAAGCTGCTGCGGGCATTGACTGTGCTGCCGATATATATACCCGGCGCAAATCGAGATATAATACATTGAGTTCGGACCCCACTCCTTTTTGCTAGCCATTTTGTCCATGCTCCGTCCAACACACATTTTTTCGTCGCTGCGAAAAATTTGAGACCGCTTCGAAAGTTAGATTACATCAAAACGATTTCATCTGCCACGAGCTCATCAGATGAAGCCTGCATTAAAAAAAATTACTGCGCGAAAGGAAACTTGCTCTTTAAAGAGCTGGGTAGTCCCGAAGGTCGGTATCTAGTACCTAAATCGGCTGCGGGAGATTTGTACACAGTGGTTTTTTAATGCTTGCAGGCAATATATCTTCAGAACGAACCAGCAAATCATCGATCGAGCGCGAATTTAGTGCGTAATGTGCGTCAACGACACATACATTTTGAAGTCGAACCAATTGTCGCGGTGTTTTTATCGGTAGAGATTGTGATGCACTTTTGCGAGAAAATACTAAAACTTTGGATCGCTGAATTTCCAGCAACATTGTCTTCATTAAGTTGAGCTAAATTCGCTCAAGAAATACAACAGAAGCATCGCATACACCTCGCGCTAGCACTGGATGTAAAGAGAACAATTTAAAGCGATTATCGTAGCATCATCTTATGTGGAGTTAGAGCTCTATATCCTTTAGTGGGATAAAGACGAGCATTATCCTCAAGGGAAAATTGTGAGCTTAGCAGCGCGACTATGCCACCATTATGACGCCTTTACCTTAATTTTAACGACAATAGGTAATTTCTACAATATACCAAAATGACGAGCAAAAGAGCTTGGGAATAGCTTTACTTTTAATTTAAGGATCACCGGATTCGACCATACCTAAACATAAATAGACCCTCATGTTTTTGATTTCACTCTGCCATTGAATTCCATCCTCACGATCTTCGACGTTTGATTTTCTATCCGATCATTTAGTGTGTGGGTGACCCAAATCTCAATCGTATCAAAACCACAGCTGTGGGTCAGAAAGATGGTGCTTAATGCACAATGATCTGAACTTATGACCTGCTTTAAAAATTCATTGTTTACCGTCACTTACCACGAGTTGTTGCGCACGTATTCTACGTCGCACTGATTCCATAACAAAAGAAGAGTGCAAAAATCTAAATGCTTGACAGCATGAAGAATTATTGATTCCAGTGGTAGATCATGCAAGCAACTTCAAGAAGCAACGAGCTCAATCTTTGATCACCAAAGTGTCAATTTCATTTGTCGTCGTCAAGTAAATGGGATGAAGTTTCTCATTGGATTAAGCTGCTAACCGAGTCTTGCCGAACGGTTTTGCTTTCAATCAAAATTTGTCATTTGCAAACATTGACGAAGTCGGTAATAACTTCGAAAATATATTCCATGAAAAATGTGATGATAATGCCTAGGACCACACAAACTTTAATGCACAGTAACTATCCATGAACAACGAATCAGTATTAACAAACATACAGAGAATGAGTTTGTACACCTCGCCCAGAATAAAAGAGTCCATGGTTCTTTGAAGGGATCCCTGAGCAGCAACAGGGCTCAACGTAAGTCGTTCGGCAATGCGTAAGTTGCAACCTTCGATAATTTCATAGACCGCTTTTACAATTATTAATTAGCTATTGACAGACATTCTTGTGTGAAGATACTTCGTCATGAGTCGGGCAGTGCTCAAGGCACCATTCCTAACATTACAAACAGCCACACTATTCTTAACAAATTACGTCAATGTTAGCTTGTCACAGCGTGGTTCATATTTTTTGGCGTTGTCATTACTTTTATCAGCTGAAGTGCAATATGAGTCGTCAAACGTTCAAATATTTTGACGCATTCTGTGTCACCAAGCCATGTTAAATGACATGACGCTTTTGTCAATTCAACATTTCTCGCACTAACAAGGTACCACCGTCTGATTATCCAATAAAGTCGCTTTGCTTCACTAAGCCACAAACTTCTAGGACGGTAGGAATACCTCCCGGAGCGTTGTAATTTAGCTTGATTCAACTTGTGGGCTCCCATGGTAGCTTTATCTACAAGAGCTTTGGCTTCTACGATAGTTAGTACTATTGGAGCATGATGTGTTCTCACAGTAGTGTTAGCTACTGGAGTATTTGTCTCCACAGTAGTGCTCTCTACTGGAGAATTTAGTACATTCACATAAGCGTCACATACTGGAGCTTTTACTATCACAGTAAATTTGTCTACTGAAGCATAACATGCTTTCAAGGTAATATCATCTACCGGATAATTGGCTTCTTCAGTAGACCAATGGGAGCATAGTGCGCTTCCACAAAAGACTTTACTGTTGGAGAAAGAGCTTCCACAGTAGCATTAACTGGTTTCCACAGTAGATATATCTATTGAAGTAATGCCTACCATGATAGATCCGTATATCGGAGCAACACCTTGTTTTGACACAAGTATTGTCGCAAACCGCACCTTCTTGGTGACTTGTGGATTCACAAATATGTCGCGAAAGCCAACATAGTGAGCACTATCTTCGATTGTGAAGTTGCTAAGCTGGTGGATAGCCACTGACGGGTCATGACGCCCGTAGGTGTGACTTCCACCCGGCAAGCTACTCATAATCTTCCTGATCCTCCGGTCGATCAATGGCTCGTGCACGCATACTCTAGTATCAGATCATGTCGATCGTCCATGTTGATGACGAAGAACGTCGACTTAAAGTCAAAGTCCGAGAGTTTAACTCGTAGATCGACTTTGATCTTCTGCTGCGTAACAATCGCACCCTTCGCAAGACGGACATGAATGTTATGATTCTTATTCGCACGAATACCATCGAAGAGGAGCGGATTCTACGCAGTACTCCTCTTCCAAGTAAATTATGTTTGTGCTCCAGAGTCAATAAGGACTCTGAAGGGTCTTTCAAATTCCTTCACCGTCGCTAAGATAAAGAGAGCGCCTCCTTCCCTCTCCACCTCTGTAGGAAGTCAAAAAATTCCTTGGGGTCAGCTGGCTCCTCTGCACAATATGTTCATATCCAGTAGGCCGCCCCGCGCCTACTAGGCCTGCGCATTTTCTGACAATGAAAGAAAACACCCCGGAAAGTGTAACAACATCAACGTTGTTGAGGGATGGGCCTCCCCGACTGCCGCGGAATTTGGCCGAACAACCACCACGTCGGCTGGCTCCACCTTAGAGGAAATTGATGATACACCAGTGGGTTTGGACCCGTACATCTTCGTCGGGCAGTCCGTTTGAGGTGGCCCACTCGGCCACAACCATAACAGGTCACCTGTAGGCGATCAATCGCAGACAGGTCCATGGGTTCAGGGCCACCACCTGGCGGCGGCTACACGTTGGTGGGACGAGTAGATAAGCCACGCGATTATCTTGATTGATCGTCGACGAAAGACTTCATTCTTTGGCAGGTCGATTGGAATCATTCCACAAAGACGGTGACCATCACGCCTTCCGGAATAAGACTATCGGCCAGCAACGCTTGTAACTTGTGAGGTACTGATATAAAGTCGTAGATCGAGGTTTTGCCCTGGCGACAGCTCAAAAATATCCCATTCGGTGGTAGAAACGTCTTTGCCATCGGTTCTTGGAGAACCTTCCAAGGGGATAAATTATTAGGAAGGTAATTCTCCCACGTGAAAGCCCAGTCATCGACGGTTCCTTGCATATGCGAAACCGTAAATACAACCTTCTGATGTTCCTCGTGCGCCAGCGCTAGCGTCAATGCCATATCCCCTTAGCGGAACCAAAAGTGGATGTTTTATCCCTGCTTTCCAAAGAAGAACTTAACCCGGTCTACCACACTTTCTGGAGATGGTGGCATCGTCACTTGGTCAACCAGGGTTGGTGGAGTCGGGAGCAACAGGGCCACACGATGCTCCATGTGATCCAGTACAAACAAGGAATAAATCTCGAACCAGGATTTGCTAAGGCCTTCATAGGTGCACAGGACACTTCAGAACTAATTGTGCTTTGCCAAGGCATCACCCATTCCGCATCGGACAAATACGGTTACTTGGAGTGGTCCAACGGTGACGGTTGGGCTGGGAAGTCAGTATGATAGCCGGAATCGGACATCCTCAATGTCGGCGGCGGATCGACCACAAGTGCTACCAGGTGTCAAAGGACAGCTGGTCACATGCACTCTTGCGCTGAGGTAGCTTTACTTCAAGGCTTGGTCTTCTTGCATAGCTGTAGTACGCGCCTCTTCAACCACAGCTGTATGTGAATTTATTGATGTAATGAAGACTGAGTATATTATAGGTGGTTTTATCCAGATCCAAATCTTAACCATAAAAAGCAATAAATGTAACTTAGTGCGTAACTTAGTGCATACCACACAAAATGTGTAATGGGTCTACCACCCATTACAGAAACTGCTGTAATACCAGCAGATGTTCCATTGGCTGCAGTCTGTCTCGGTTTGAAAATATGAAGGGTAGGGCATATACGCGAGGCCAAGTGATATACCAATCACTTGGAAGAATCAAGTCCTAGTACACGCAAAACCACCCACTGGTAAAAATGTGAAATTTGTCCTACCACGTGAAGGCTAAGGTCAATGGGAACGAACTTAATAGGAGCTGACTTTCTGTGAGCTGAAGCTCAAAGTCCGCGATTATTGGCTGTGAATGTCAGAGTATAGGGCTTTGTAAAATCGTAAGTGTCTCAATTAATTCAGAAGCATCTTGCAATTACGTACGGCATGCGGATGTTATAAGTAGACAGTACACGAAGGCCTTGACGAAGCGTGTAGCGAACGTGTCTTGCACCGTTAAGGTTCGTTTGAACCATTTTCAAAATATTTAAAGACTTTGACCGCGTGGAACGCGGTCCGGTCTCTGAACTAAAGAACTACTTCATTCAGCTATGTCGTGGCTGTAAAGCTGTAAGCGATGAAATAATCGAAGAACAAAACCACTAAAATCTACACGTTTCACTTTTTGTGAGGCTTTGTCAATTCATAAACTCACACTGCCAAATGGTAGAAGCGCTTTTGTGTAAATTATTTTCATTAACTTTAATTTACCTAATCAACAGATAAAAATATAAAAGGCAACGTATGTATGTTCCTACATACTAAACATGCAGGCAGCCATGTCAAGACATGCGGGCGG